TAAATCTTGAAAGTCAAATAGATCTCTTGATTTTTTAATTTGTCGCTCAATATTACCATTAATACTATTAGCAGTCATGTGTGTATGACCTTTGGTAAGATACTTGAAGGTTATGTTGTGTACATGATAAGTATGGGTATCATTATTTACCATAATCGCTATTGCAGTAAACCAATACCAGTTTTTTTTTGGGCACTGCAGTTATCTGCCCAAAAAACAAAATTGTTCATATCACGCTCTTCTTTAATTAAAGCATATATTGCATCGATATCGACTTCATTAAAAATAACTAAACGACTTGTAAAAAAGACATCTTTGTTTACTGGCATAATTGGTAAAAATAACACTTTTTGCAAGTCAAAAGAAAAATACTTAGTTTTATTAGTTTCTGGTAATTCTGCATCAATTTTGTAATATCTATTAGCATCATCTGCTTTTTTTGTGTACCTCCCATTGAACTTTTATGGTAGAAGATACAATCGAATTATCTATGCATGTGCTGCTTGCTTCTACAAAGTTTTTGTACTCTAAACAGTCAGAACATGAATCCATTTGAGGCATGTGTAAAGATATTTTCATTGTCTTTTTTCTGTAAGTTTAAATTTTACATATTTGGGTGCTTTAATCTGAAGACATTAAACACGGAAGAAACTGTTAAACTCGACGGAAAATATCTAGTGAAAGGGGCGTTTTTTCGGCGGTAATGACTAACGCAGGAATTATAAGAGTTTATATGATTTACTATTATGTCATTGTCACAGACATTACTGGATTTTTTACCTCGATTTTCCTTTACATGTGCATTAAGTAGCTCTCCTTTTTGATAACATATGATAATTCATTGATAACCGAATCACTGATATAACCAAATGTATTTAGTAAAAACAGTTTGTATACTGGCAGAAATTCGGTGATATCGTTTTTACGTAAATAAAATACGCTTGTTTCATTTCTCCTAAATACTTTATTAGCAGCTACTGGAACTCTTTTACGCAAAACAGGTCTAAGTGAAACACATTTTGCAAGCCACAGCCTTCGAGTTGTATAATCTGCGTTCCTATGCATTCCAAATATCTGCTCTGCATTCTTCGCTGAATTCAGAACAAGACTTCTTACACTTCGCAGTGCATCTAGGCAAAATGGGATGTTTATTTTTGTTATCTCTACTTTTTTCTGTAGCTGAAATTTGTCTCCTTTTTTTTAGTAACTTGGCGTTCAGTAGGTATGCTTTCAGATGTCGAATCTGGATGATCAGCAGCGTTTTCAGCTTTGAGTTAGGTTGTTAATTTGGGTCGGCAATGTTATCATTGTTATCCTCATTTGAAGATGAAAGCTCTAAATCACGTCTAAGCATCTCATAATTAGTCCCTTAACTCTTTAATACAACAATACTGAAGGCATTTTTCAGTCTCATCGTCATCTACTGGTGGAGCATCTTAATCGTTTAATTTTGGAAAATATTTATCCTGTTTTAGGAGCAAATTCAGGTGTTTTTACAACTTTTTGGCAAGTCTAGCAGGCACTTCTTTATTACTATAAAATTGCTTTTCCTTAACCACATTTACTTCTATTGTAAAAACATTGACCGATATTTTGTTTAAATTTTCGAATTTTGTAATGTCATGTAATAACATTGGGTCTTCTATTTTTCCTGTTTGCAAAATAGTAGAATAGTGCGGATATTTTGACACTCTTTGTGGATTTGTCGTAACAGGGTGTAACGCACTAACTATTGCCCAATAGAAACGCCTGATCGAAATTGCGAACATGAATGCACGCTCGTTTTTTCTGAATCTCTATTTTAGATTCTACTTTAGATAGCATAGCACCCGAATCGTGTTCCGAAAAATCAGAAAGCTTGGTAAATATTTTATCTCTAACGATTTCTTCAAACCACCGATGTAAATCAGTCGATGTATCTACAGCTGCATTTTTCGTATTGAAATATTTTAAATCTAAACTTTCGCTAACATAGATTTTTTAACGAATTCACCGTAAAATGCAGTGTTGACTTAAAGTATTCCATTTGTTTTTAAAATCGTTTTATTTTTCTACTAAAAACTGTAAAAGCATCATCCAAAAACATTCTTACATCCTTATGACATAAATTTACTATTACCCCAGTTGTCATTCGACTAACAAAACACGAAATGGCATTTTCCCATCTAACTCTATTGCGTAATTTTGATCTAAGGACCAAACCCAATATGTTTATTATTGAAATTTAAAATAATTTGCCTAAAATGCTTAAAATGCTAGTTTGCAAGTTTCCAACTGTTCCAGTGGATAGTTTATTGTTGTTAATTACTGTATTACATCTCCAAATTTGACTATTTAACCGTCTTGTCTAAACTTTACGATCCCTTTCAGTGAATTTATCAAACATTATTTTACGAAGCTTTTTAATAGTGTGAAGCAAATCATCAGACTGTTTAATCACTTGTTTATGCATGGTTATGGCTACTCATACAAAAGAAAAATAAGAAAAAATCACTCGCTTCTCTAATCTAGTTTTCTACTATTCTAAATGATTTGGCTGGATGTTTTTCGACTGCAACCGTTCCCTCGTATAATATTGAGTATTTATGTTTGGGAAAGTGCTCCAAATATGATCGGTAGACTTCTTCACTCGCTTTGACGGAAACGTGACCCTCTCTGCTAGCTTCAGCAAAACAGCTTGGCCAAATTTACTTTTCACTATCTTTGCCGATAGTATTTTCTGTGGCTCATTAAGTGTCTCATTTATTGTCGGTTTTCCCCCTGCAATAGACGAGGATGCATTTAGTTTGGTCAGATCCATCTGCAAATACAACAGAATTTTTTATTTAAGCATAAAGTCAGATGTATTAGTAAAGGAGACATGAACTTGTAAAATTTAATTATTTTAGACACCTGATGTGTGAAATCGAAAAAAGTAAAAAAAAAATTATTAAAGAAGAGAGTGAAATTTTTGAATGTTTTGTAGAGTAAAGACCTAAATCTACAAGTCGAAAGAAACACAATACATACATAAAAATTATTTAAATCATGAAAACAAAAAATCGCTTACTTATTCAATATTTTTTCACTAACACCATTGTGAACTAACTGTAGGAAATTTCATATGCTGACTGGGTCTATGCTCGTGTGTTTCTATATTTTATAGGCATAATCCCACACGGCACGAACGTGATCGCATAAGTTTTGTTTTTTTGCTTCTGAAATAAAGTTTCGTTATACGATAACAAGAAGAATTAACAGTTGGCTTCTGTGTCATCGCCGCTTTCATTTGACACTCCATACAGGCCAATAGCAAGGAAGATACGTTATAGCGCCCTTTGGCAATGCGGCCATCTTTTTTTGCCTCAACGTACGGCACATACTGCGTTAAACTCCATTTTTCGTCCTCTTTCCAACGATACCTCACACGTCATCCTACTTAAGCCGTTTGGTAGTTACAACCGGGGGTTGCGATTTTCAGGGATGCGATTTACGGGTGTGCTCAAAGACCTATATTATATCTACTTATACATACATATTTAAATATTTTTCAAACTTGTTTTAAAAAAATCGGCAACTTTCTTCTGTTTCTTGACATTAAGTGAATTTTTAAAAGCTATATATGTCCATTTTTTAAAAGCCAAGACGTCTATTCGAAATGGCCCAGGTTGTTGTTCAATATACTTCAATGCCACCTCCATTGTAGCCCTCGCCTCGGTATGGCCGACCTTTTCCCCTCCGTCAACATCATCATCATCAGCCTCCTCCTTTTCATAGGGCTCTTCATGTGTTGCTAGTGTAATTATTTCGTCGTCTGTCAAAAATTCGTTTTCAAGTTCCTCATCACGGTTCCCCATTCTTCAATATCTTCGGCCAGCGATTAGACATTTTCGGATAACGTTTGGAGATCTTGAAGAATGGTGGTAGAATTATCTTCTTCGTGTAATTGTTGACACTCAACAAGTTACTCAATGTTAGTTTTTGAAAAGATTTTGCCAAGACTTAACGAAAGTAGAAGTAGGAATTTCTTGGAAGGCAGAAGCTAGTATGTAAATTACGTCCTTTAAGTTAATTTTTTTATGATATCAATAAGATTGAGATCTTCACTTTCTGCGTACTGTAAAATTTCGGACAGTAATTTACATCTGTATCGTCTTTTTAAGCTTTCAATCACACCTTGATTCATTGGTTGCACCAAGCTTGTCACATTAGCAGAAGAAAGATAATTTTTATGTCATCTGTCTCACATGTTAGGTTTCCAGGATGAGTTATAGCATTATCCAGAAGTAGGACTGCTTTAGTGGGAAGATTTACACTCTTAAGATGGCTCGTTATTCTCGGAACAAATTCACGCTCAAACCATTCTTTGAATAGATCAGCGCTCATCCATGCTGATTTTTGGGATATGTAGAATACGGGGATGGACGATGGATGTAAATTTTTAAATGCACGCGGTTTAGCGGACTTACCAACAACGAACAGAGAAACAAACAGCAACTGTAATGCGCTCTTTTCTCTCTTTAAATTTAGAAGCCGATTTTTCATGACTTGACTTCTTAAAAATGTTTTTTCTGGAAGCATTTTAAAATTGAGATCCGTCTCATCCATGTTATATACTAGTGATGTGAACTTTAGTTACTTTTCAGTACTGGTAACGATTAGTTACTTTTTGTGTTAGGACTCGTTACTTTGTAACGGTTACTTTTATATAGTTACTTTTGTTAAAGTATTAGGTAATTAGGTATATATATTAAAAAAAAATAGAAGTAAGCTCCTAACTATAAAATTTAAGATAAGACATGATAGCCTGTTTCATGTGTAAGAGCATTATAAACAAAAAGAGCAGAAATTTTTAATTATCAAAAAGTATATTCTAAATATAAAAAATAAAATAATTATCAATAACAATGACAAAAAATTTTTAAAATGTACTTCACTTATTATAGGTTTTCACTGCAGTTTGAAAATAAAATAGTTTCAATATTGTTTTATTTCAAGCGGTTCCTTCGGTCTGTAATGACTTGGTCTGTCTTAGAAAATACACGCTCACATGGAACGGATGTAGCAAGTACTGACAAATATTTCTTTGCTAATACCGCAAGCCATGGATATATCTTTTCTCTTTCCTTCCACCAGAGCAGAGGATTTTGTTTTCTTTCTAAATTCGCCTCTTCTGAAAACATTTTTAGTTCAGCAATAGCCACTGCCGTTGGGCTTGTTACAGTGTTTGAAGATTTGACCAAGTTGTCAAAATCTTGCCAAATGATGTCGTCAGTTTCTGTACTTAATGTCTCCGTCAACGGTAACTGATGTGTATCATTGGAAGGCTCTGGGACCGTATCGTCTTGTTGACTTTTTTTAATTATCTCCACTAATTCTTCTTGAAGTCTATCTTTAACCTTTTTTAAACAGTCATCGTTATTGAATCCCTTAGTTTTAAATATTGGATCCAGGAAAGAGGATTTTCCCATTATTGTGTTATTTTCAGGGTTCCCAAAACGTGTAGTTATTGAGGCTAGCAATGAACGTATTAAATCTCTTCCTAATTGACTCGTAATTTGAACTCTTATTCGCTTTAAAGATGATAATACCCCCTTAATAATAAGAATTACTTTGGACAGAGTTATTTGTTTTTCGGAACTCATTTCTACAGTAACAACCTCAAATGGTTTTAATATTTTACAGAATTCCTGTAATAGTAACCATTCTTCTTCCGTCGGTAAAGTTACTGGATTATGCAAAACAGCAACTGTGGCAGCTAATGGGTTACATAATTTAACTACCCTTTCTAACATATAATATGTTGAATTCCATCTTGTTTGTACATGAATAATTAGTTTTAAAGGAGTAGCATTGGGATTCATTTGAGACTGAGTTTCAAAAAATTTAGTTCAACTATTTTTTTAACTTTTTTTTGCAGCTCCTCTATGTGCACCAATCCATTCCTAACGATCAGATTGATAGTGTGTGCAAAACAAGGAATATGCACCCAACCAGTTATTTTTACTGCCGCTATAATATTTGCCGCATTGTCGGTAGTTATAGCATATACTTTGTCAGAAATGCTCCATTCATTTGCAACTCGCCGTAATTCACGAGCTATATTTTCAGCAGTATGCCTCCCATCATATTTAAAACATGACAGTAAACACCCATAATACTGCCAATCAGTTGTTATAAAGTATGCTGTAAGTGCTACATATCCTTCTGTATTAATAGAAGTCCAACTGTCGGTACTTAATGTGATATATTCAGCAGTTTTGGGAAGAGCTTTAACTTCGAGAACTTTTCTTTCATATTTAGCAGGCATTAAAGATTTGCTAAATGTTGATATGTGTGGTATAAGACGGATCAAGTTCATTTAAAAGTTTACGAAAACCCCGATCCTCGACAATTGAAAAAGGTTAAAGATCGTTTACTATTATATTTAATATTAAATCGCTAATTTTTTGTTGACGTGATAATGAAATTGGTCGTGATACATATCCGTGCAGACTTGACTGTTTTTGTTTTTTAGAAATTGAATTTGTTTCAACACTTACAGGTCTTGTATGCTTCTCCTCTTCAGTGTATATCGTCGGTGTTACTTTATTTTGTTCCAACCTTGAAGTTCAATTGATGTGGATGGACCTAAATTAAATATATATGTATGTATTAAATTAAATTGTACACGAAATATAAAAATTACCTGCTTGCATTACTTCCATGTGCAAAGGATTAATGCTTTCAGGATGACTGCTTCTTTTTTCGAGTGGTTCCTCTAGAACCATTGTTAGATGTTTATGTTTAAGATGTTTTCTTAAATTGATACATTTCCGCCTTTATAATAATATATACCGTTGCAAAAATTGCATTTCGCCTTATCATTAGAAGTGATAGCAAAGTGTATCCAGATAGCGCTTCTTTTTTGACTTAATAAATCCATAATTAGACAATTATTGTTCTAACTATTATCAAATAACTTTCACATTTGGATCGAAATTGAAAAATATATCTGGATCTTCTTCTTCCTATGCCGTCCCATTAACGGAGGTTGGCGACCACATTTTTAAAAGCTTCTCTGTCTTTTGCAACGTGGAATAATTCGTCTACAGTATGTTTGTCCAGTATCGAATATTTCGCAGCCATGATTTCCTTTTTCTACCTATTCCTTTTTGCCATCGACTCTACCCTGCATGATGACCTGCAGAAGACTATATTTATTATTTCTTAGTATGTGTCCAAGGTATGCAGTCTGCGTACTTTTATCGTTCTCAACAATTTTTTGACTCGACCCATTCTTCTCAGCACTTCCTCATTGGTGACATATCTGGATAGAGCGATGGATTTCCCCGCATGAGGTGACACTGAGGGGTCCTTTGATGCTTCGGGAGCCGTTGGTCTTGGTTGATGTGATTGAGAGATATCCCCCTAGTTCTCCAATTAGTCTCATGAGTCACTTTCTCAAGCTACTTCGTAGGATAATTCTTAATAGAATCAAGCGAAAATGTGAAGATACAATGGAAAATAAACAATTTGGTTTCAGAAAAGGATTGGAACAAGGAAGCTTTGTTCTCAATGTTAACACTACTTCAACGATCATGGGAAGTATATAAATCAATTCATGTCTGTTTTATAGATTTTGAGAAGCCGTTTGTTAGGGTTTAACACGGTAGGCTGTTTGAATATCTAGAAATGATTGGAATAGATGATAAAGATCTGAGACTTTTACAACATATATATTGGAATCAAGAAGCCTGGTACACTAAGCCATTTAGTGCACATAGTTATCATGATATAATTTTTATTTTGTCCTCCGCACCCATCTGCAACAAGTCGTACAGTGCGTATATTGTCATCAAAGGTTGTGTGGCAAAGTTTGTGATAAACGGCACTGGCTATTTCATTTGGTCCTTTTCAATGTTGACCTTCTGTCGATGTATACAAAAACGCATTTTCCTTAGTCAACGGCGAATGGGATGAACCTGTTACAGCAGCAAAATTGTACGTATATAACTGCCGGCTCTACTAAACATACTGATCAGGAATCTTCGGCATCGCCCATTTCTTTTGACAATCAAAGGATATAGTCTTAAGGCCTTGCTTTTTTTCTTGGAGTAAACTACAAAAAGCTTTTGCTCGTAACTTATGTATGCGTTTTTCGGTTAATAATGTATATTTAAGTTCTTTATTTTTTTCAACCTTTATCTTTTCTGTTAGCTGAAGACACGTACCAAATCCAATATTATAGCAGGTAATAAAAATATACCGAAAGTAACTTTTTTTTTACCGCAACACATAAATAACGCTCTACTTCTTGGCAATATAGACGAAACTTTTTGAAATATTGTTAGTACTTTGTATTATCTGTTAATAACGAATTATCCGACAAACTATGACGCGTAATTCGATCTCCTGAAAGCTAGACAACATGTTTTTGTTATAAACACAATATGTCTGTTTTAAAGAATTAACTGACTATGTGTGGTGCTTGATTCTTTATTACACTTAGAAGGTAAGGATTTTTGTTTTTGACGGTGGATTATATACTAATATTTTATGGCTTGATTTAGTATTCCAATTTTTTTTTAAAGTTTTTAATTCTGTAAAATTAACTTGACTTTTAATTCGATATTACAAATCTTAATGTGAGATTTTTCTTAATAAAATAATCAATGTAGCTTAATACAGGTTCTTAAAAACCGCTTTATTTTGTATTTTGTTCAATCACAAATTAACCCCTTAATTTGTAATCTCACATTATTCTTAACTTCTTAATATTTTATAGTTTCACCGTGTATAAGTGAATTTGTAAAACCATATCGTATAATATTTAATAATTAGTTCATTTACCTACAACTAAATAAATTGCCGAATAATATATTTTCTAATTGAACTTCCTAAGTGTCGCAATTAAGGCCTAGATTAAATTGTAATGTAAGCAAATAGTTCAAAGTATGGTATGATAGAAAGCAATAACCTCTGTGCTGAGAATGAATTATTTGTGAGATTATAAATTGGGGATTTGAGCTCATTTGGGCACAGTCTATAATAAGTAGTTACCCAACGAATATCATATTGTGTAACTACTAGTAGCTGTCAATAAAATCAACGTTTTTATGTGTAACTTCAACTTTTATTATATTTATCATCGTCGATCGACACGAAGCGAACAAGGGAGCATTTACAAACCGATTCGAACCTCACAACTACGTTCGAAACTTTTCATACTTTTTTACAGAAAACATATTTTTATACATATATTTGCACCCTATCTGCTAGATGGCACTATTATCTCGACTTTCAATTTTTTTTCGCTGAATCTGTTATTACATAACGCGGTCCAATTGTATAGATGCAAAATTCACATTCTGCACGTTTCTCAACTTTCGAAAAAATGAGAAAAACTTTTTACTATTTAAGACCATGGTTATAATGCTTCAGTTTTTTTTTGTTTAACAACTTTGTTGTAATAGAAACTGTTCGCCTAAACTTAATGGGTGTATTTAATGAAGATTGTTTTATAAACTTAATTTAAAATTCAGACAATGTGAGTTCTGTAGCAAAATGTAGTTAACTGTGAGTTTTGCACCAAAATCTCATGGATAATGTTAGTCATAGTGCAAAATATTTGAACTTTGATTTTATATTTATATTTTAACCTTAAATTAAAAACAAGAACCAAGAAAAATAAGGTGATTTATATGGTTATGATATTTGTGATTTAAAAATAGAAACATTAAATAAATTATTTTATTAAAACATTAAATTTAGTTTACGGTGCTATGATGTTTTACTCTTTAAAACTAATTGTTAGTTGTTTTGTAGATAAGACTTGCTTTGAGTGTTTTAGATACACTGTTTAGAATAACGTATTTTTAAACATTAGCGATGTTAACTTCTTCGATGTATTCACAAACTGACCCGTTCTGCATTGTCATCAGCCCCATCGATGACATTCTTGTAGAAGAGTAAATTCTCGTTGTCCCTCCACTGGCTCTCCTAATGCTTCTTCAGCAAGTTATTGATGTCAACTTTTTTCACTAGTTTCGTCGAGTTTGACAAAGGAATCAAGTTTGGTTTCATGCTCAAAAGCAGTTTTCCTGGTTTGGTTAAAGATTTTGCCACACCCATGTCTGACTTGTAGGGGAAGGGTGTACAAAATGACATACATTTTTAAACCACCGAAAATTTTTCTTAGAGAAAACATTTTTTTACAAAATTTATAAATAGAATAGATAGAACACAAACTAAAGTATTTGAAACACTTCAGGCAAGTTTTTAACAAAGTACTAGAAAATATAAACTTTTAGTCAAACTTACTTAAATGAACAAGAAAAGTTCATTTTACCCCACCTGGCGGCCAAAATGACAGATTAGTAGCTATTGATATTCTTCAGTCGGTACAAAGCTCGCAAACATTTTTTTTTCATGTCTAGTCCGGCACACTCAGTATGTGCCCACTTTTGACACGATTAACAGCATAACCATGTCTCACCTTTTTTAGACAACTTGTACATTTCTGTACAGTAAATGCAAGCGGCATCATCATTTTCTTCTTTAGCAGAAAAAGGTTCTCTTTCGTTTTCCAACTCGCATTCTATTAAAACCTTTTTATCGCTCTTTTTATGTTAGGAGGGATCTCTGGTTTCGGTTTGCCTTTTTATTTTGCCTCCTTTTGCCCACTCCTGCTGGGCAAAATAAAAATATTTATTTAACTTATAGAACATGGATATCTCTAATATTTCTGACCTTTCATTGTCGATCGAAGACGAAAATATCGTCCCCAGGGTTAATCACAGAACCACGAAGAATC